GCTTTTGTGCGTTAACTCTTACAGGATGGAGGAAACTGGTCTTGGTGGAGGTTTGCGCTCTCCGAGTGCTTCTAGGTTTTATTAAATTTGGGATGAATGGTAACAGAAAACAGAAGTATTACAATTGTGAATTTTTTAGTGGACTTAAAATTAACACGGAAGCTAATCATCCTGCTAACAGTATCCAAAGCAGGCAAAAAAAAAGCTAATCCGGTAAATATAAAAGCTAGTTTCGCTGTTAGCGGATTAGCAGAACTGTTCTCGACGTTTAGCCTCAAAGCGCATGTATAACAGTACAGTGTAATGCACCTCAAATATTTTTATTATTGCTATTCTATCCTGTTGTTAGAAATGATGACACAATTATTCAAYAGTAGATACTTTAGAGAATTTTTGTTTTCTTTAGATTTATGTCACTTTGTTCTGTTGTAACTTCATTTAAAGAGCTGTTATAACCATTTATACTCTGTCAGGATTTAATCTTRTTTAACACCATGATTTAAATATTGAAAGCTGTATTTTTATTTAACTTTGTTGGAGACCAATATAAAAATGGAAAAATTTACTAAGAAAGATTGTAGGCTTTATTATCACACACAGAAATGATATTTATTGAAAGTTAGAAAAATAATAATAAAATGGTTTGTTAATCACAATACGAAGTTTAGGAGCTGGAGAACATTTTCTTCGTGTTTCTTGAAATTCTTATTTTTTAAGTTAAAAAGATACATACAGAAGCCGAGAGCAGCCGTTTTCCGCAAGTAATTTTTTTCCCACGGTTTTCTCGAGATAAGGACATACTTCTTTTATGTCGTGATAATGAGTTCATTATGTCATTATCACGAGATAATGATGACCGTTTTCTTGAGATAACGTGTTAATTTCCAGATGGTTTTCCTCTTGTGTATCATTCATTAACCATGGAGACAGCCTGGTCCTCTGACTGTTTGTCACTGAAGTTTTCCATCCATCCATCCATCCATCCATCCATCCATCCATCCATCCATCCATCCATCCATCCATCCATCTCGCCCCATTATTTAATCAAACAAATCCCATTGAGATCGCAGATCTCTATTGCAAGGGTGGCCTGGGCCTAAAGACAAACCTATCAACCTGATAATTACTTCATAATAAAAACCTTATAATTTCACGTCATTTTGTATCATCAGGTTGAAATTGTGATGTTTGTTTTGTAAAGATAACTTTCCCATCAGCCCTCATCATTTAAGGAGACAGCTGGCCCGACTGCAGCTCAGCAGGCGTTTACACAGTCATTTTGATGATATAATAAACTTTATTGGTAACCTGTGGGGATCGGGCCGTCTCCATGCTTAATGAATGATACACAAGGAAAACGATAAACTCTGGGCTTCCGTAGAAACATGATAAAATTGAAATACGAAAACAAACATATATACATTTTCTTAAAAACATTGTTTTAAAGAAAACAGAAAATTCAAAGAATATCCCTTGAAGTTTAAAAATTACTGTTAACTAAACATTTACTTAAATAAGTGTTCCCATTTGACCCATGTTTAGTTCCCAGTCAAGTTGGTCAAAAATAATCTTTGTTTCTACCATTTTTACAATTTTTTACAGTTTGTGACTCAGTATTAAAGACAAAGACAGTTTGGGAAGCAGTGCTGTGTAAAAAATCGTACCATTACATATTAATTGTGGAGTTTATAAATCTGAACATGTGGATATCAGTCACTTAATTAGCAGCCATAAACRATCAAAAACAAATCTGTTTCTACAGTTGAGTCTGAGAAATAATACTGTTGGACTTTGTTTCAATGATATCTTTTGTATTTTGGTAGGTTGACTCTTCGATGGGTTCTGTGGGATGTTTGTACTCGTGGTACTCCACGATGGGGTAGGTTATGATTGTCAGCACCAGAACAGCKATCAGGATGTAGATTTTGTACTCCAGGCACAAAAACGTGCTGTAGGCAAAGGCGATGACGAAACCGAGGGACTCCCACATCCGGTAGTTGGCGAATGCTGCCTCCTTTTCCCTCGGGAAAAGGACGCCGTAAAGAGCTGCAAGACAGACGAGGAAGAGTTCATTAAAAAAAATAAAATCAGCTATTTTTAAAATTCCTAACATGAGCAGCAGATCCTTCTGTACTTATGGTGTTTGTGAAAAGTTTGTCTGGTTTTGAATCCTCTTAAAATAAGAACAGCAAGACTGTTGATAATAAATATCTATAAATACATCGCCACTTAAACAACTGATCTCAGTATAAACAAATTACATTACCTCTGTTTTGTTTGTAAGTAAAAAAAAAATTAAATAAACATTATTTTTGTCGAATGGTTGGCACAGCTAACCAGAAAGTTAGGTTCACTAACCACTAATCCACTACTGACAYGTCCAGCACTGCTTGATGGCATAATTACCTCCGCCAAGGGCGAGGTAATGTTTTCGGTTGCGTATGTCTGTCATTCTGTCTGTGGACAACATTACTCAAAAACTTGTGGACAGATTGTCAGGACATTTTTACCACATGTGGACAGTCCCAAGGAACACACCATTAAATTTTGGTGATGTTCCGGATCACGATGC